GTTATGGGAATGCACCCTGAGTTGCACTCTGCACTCAGCGGGGAGTCTGCTTGAAGATTCTCTCCTTCCACCCCTCCCCCGACTCACGTGCACACGCTCTTTCTATAATAAACAAATGACTCTTTTAAAAAAGTCTCTTCCTATATGGGGAGGGTTGAGAAGATTATATTTATTATTCAATTATTGATATTGATAGGATAAATATAATGGAACCAGTATGTAAAATATTACAGATGAATAGTAATTAGAGAAAAGTAGGCGGTTTCCCTTTCCAAACTACTTAAGAAACCAAAGGACCACTGAAAAGATCATTCTAGCACAAATCAGGAAAAGAAGTGGAAACAACAGCAAAGCTTGGTAAACCAACCAACCAACCAACCAAATGCTTGATGGCTGGGATAAGTGGTCACAATAACCAGTGGCAGAACAAATATGAATTTATTATTAAAATTAAAGACCTGTTTCTCGAACTGGGCGAAGAAGTAAAATTCGGCTATAGTTTGTCAGGAGTCATATAATACAAAATGACACAGAAATTAAATGTCACTCATTCAAAGGTGTAGGCAATGATTTACAAGGCAAATAAACAAAACGGGAATAGAAATATTGATATGAGATGAAGTAGAATTCAAGACAGTATTCACTGAAACAGGGATACTTTGTGCATGCGTGAGAGAGAGATGCTACCATTTGTCACCATCAACACTATTACAATACCACTGACTATATTCCCTATGCTGTACATTTTATTCCCATGACTTACTCATCCCATAACTGGAAGCCTGTATCTCCCACTCCCCTTCACCCCATTTTGTCCATTCCCCCATACCCCTTCCCTCTGGCTAATAATCAGTTTGTTCTCTATTTATAGGTCTGCTTCTGCTGTTTGATTATTCATTTGTTTTGGGTTTTTTTTAGATTCCACATATAAGTGAAATCATATGGTATTTGCTTTTCTCTGACTTATTTCACTTAGCATCATACTTTCTAGAAAGCATAATGTCTTTCTCTGTCTTATTTCACTTAGCATAATACTTTCTAATACTTTCAATATTGTCACAAATGACAGGATCTCATCCTTTCTATGGCTGAGTAATGTTCCATGGTATACATATATACCACATCTTCCTTACCCATTCTTCTATGGATGGACACTTGAATTGCTCCCATATCTTGGCTATTGTAAATAATGCTGCAATAAACATAGGACTGCATGTATCTTTTTGAATTAGTGTTTTCATTTTCTTTGGGTAAATAGAATTCCTGGATCATATGGTAATTCTATTTTTAATTTTTTGAGGAACCTCCACACCGTTTTCTGCAGTGGCTGTACCAGTCTAAATTCCCACCAACAGTGCATGAGGGTTCCTTTTTCTCCACATCCTCGCCAACACTTGTTATTTCATCTTTTTGATTCTAGCCATTCTGACAGGTATGAGGTGATATCTCATTGTGGTTTTGATTTGCATTTCCCTGATGATGAGTGATGTTGAGCATCTTTTCACGTGTCTGTTGGCCATCTGCATGTCTTCTTTAGAAAAATGTCTATTCAGGTCCTCTGCCCATTTTTTAATTGGATTATTTGGTTTTTGGTGTTGAGTCATGTAAGCGCTTTATATATTTTGGATATTAACACCTTATCGGATGTATCATTTGCAAATATCTTCTCCCATTTGGTAGTTTTGTCAATTTTAGTTTTGTCGATTTCCTTCACTGTGCAGAAGCTTTTTATTTTGATGTAGTCCCAATAGTTTATTTTTGCTTGTTTCCCTTGTCTCAGGAGACATACCTAGAAAAATGTTGCTACTGTACCTTATAGTTTTAAGGGCTATTATAAATGCTATCTTTTTTAAAAAATATATCATATTCTAAATGTCTAGATTCATGGGCCTCCAACAATTTTTTTTTTTAAAGATTTTATTTATTTATTTGACAGAGACAATGAGAGAGGGAACACAAGCAGGGGGAGTGGGAGAGGGAGAAGCAGGCTTCCCGCCGAGCAGGGAGCCTCCAACAATTTTTTTATACTGGTCTTACAACCAGACATCTTTTAAAGATAGTAGCTCCAGGGCGCCTGGGTGGCTCAGGTGGTTAAGCGATTGCCTTCGGCTCAGGTCATGATCCTGGAGTCTCGGGATCGAGTCCCGCATCGGGCTCCCTGCTCGGCGGGGTGTCTGCTTCTCCCTCTGACCCTCCTCCCTCTCATGCTCTCTGTCTCTCATTCTCTCTCTCAAATAAATAAATAAAATCTTTAAAAAAAATAGTAGCTCCAATAGTTTATCTATCCTCATGAATGATTTTTTTTCCTCCTTTCCAATTCTATTACTACTTATTTATTTTTTCATATCTTACTGTACTTGCTAGTCTTCCAGGAAAATGTTGGATATCAGGGATTCTTACCCTGTTCCAAACATTAAGAATTTACCTTTACCTGTTTCATCTTTAGGAATGGTGCTTGCTTGGGGTTGGGATTTTATTTTATTTTATTTTACAGATTTTATTTATTTATTTGACAGAGAGAGACACAGCGAGAGAGGGAACACAAGCAGGGGGAGTGGGAGAGGGAGAAGCAGACTCCCTGCAGAGCAGGGAGCCCGATGAGGGGCTCGATCCCAGGACCCTGGGATCATGACCTGAGCTGAAGGCAGACGTCCAACAACTGAGCCACCTAGGCGCCCTGGGATTTTATTTTTTTGATAGACCTCAATAAGTTAACAAAGTTCCCTTCTGAATCTAATCCACTTTTTTTTTTTAAAGTCATAAATGGAGTTATGTTTCATTTTATCAAATGATTTTTCTAAATCAACCAAGATTATCACATTTCTCCTTCAATTTGTTAATGTGATGAACTATATTAATACATTCTCTATGTTACCATTCTTGGTAAAAATTATTTGGTGATGACATGTTTTACTGCATTGCTGGATTCAACTTGTTATTATTTCACTTAGACTTCTAGATGTAATTTCATAAGTGATATTAGCCTATAATTTTTCTTTCTTCCATTTACTTCTTGGTATTTGTCTCAAAGTGTCTCATGGATGAACTGGAGGACATTTCCTCTTTTTTATTCTCTTTTAGGAGTTAAGTGAAAATTGAGTTTGGTTATTCTTTTGAGAGTAGTCACCTGCAAGATTGTGGGAGTCTACTGGTGATGTTTTGTTTGTTTGTTCTTTGGTGCATATATTTTAAACAACTGATTTAATTTCTCTCTATTCATAGTCTATTCAAATTCTATATGTCCTCTTGGCAATCTCTGGGAAGCTATACTTTCTCAGAAATGTGTCCTGTTCTTCCAGGTCTTCAAATTTATTACCCCAGATTGTTCAATGTATTCTGATCTTTTAAACTTCTATTGTATCTATAGTTATTATACTTTTTATTCCTAATATGTGTATTTGCATCTTCTTTTTTCTTGCTCAGTGTTTCCAGAAATGTCTATTTAATTAGCCTTTCACAGAAGTTAGAAATTTACCCTCAAGATATATCTCTAACAGTATCAAAACAACATGCACAGGATTACCCATTCTGGCGTTCTTCATAATAGCAAAACAGTGGAAATAGTCTAAATGTCCACATGCAGGAAATTAGCTGAATAAATTATGATACTTCTACATAGTAGACTACCATATAGCTATTAAAAAGAAAGAATGAGGAAGACCTCTGTAAACTGACGGGCCATAATTTCCAGAATATGTCATTAAGTGGAAAAAAACATTGCGCAAAGAGTATATGTAGAATGCAACCTTTTGTATAAGAAAAAAAGGGAAATACGTTTGTATTTGCTTATTTTTACAAAAAGAAATAAGAAAGATAAAATTGTTTACCTACAGAGGATGGGTGGGCAGGAGATAGAAGGGATAAGGAGGGGAATGGGATTTGTATTATGCCTTTTTTATATAGCTTTGACTTCTGAACGATGTTAATATTTTACAAGTTTCAAAAAACAAGTCAATAAGAACGGGGAAGCAACTAAAACTGAATGCCAACAATGACAAATAAACCTAACTGTGTATCAAACAAACAACAACTACACATTAATTCAAATAACTTTTGAACACAATTCTCTGTATACTCTCAGTAGGATATATTCTAAGAACTTCAAAGAAATCTTGAGTTTCACTTAATACACTTATGGGGAGTAGGGTTGATGTAGTAATTCTGAAATTCTTTCATTCGTGTATAAGATTTGGTAAGAGAGTATGTATATGGTTGTTGGATTCTCATTCAGGGAGAAGGGAGATATAAATATGAAATGGGAGGAGTGCAAGAACTCTAAGATGCTGGATTGGAATTATTGGCATGAATTCATCATTTTGAAGTTGTATCTCCTAGCTCTGAATGCTAAGAGGGCCTAGAAACAATGACTCTCTAGGAACAGTGAGCATATCTCGCATTCAGATCTTGGTATCCAAATACCATTCTCTGAATGGAATGAGAGCTCTTTGGAGAAATGCACGATTCCAGGACTGGGGCACAAAAACTACAAGATGAGTCTGGAATATCCATATATTGTGCCCAAAAGTTTTGAAGTTCTCCAAGGACACATCAGATGGACACATTTTATATATAAAAATAAATTTTAAAAAAAAGAGCCAACTTAACCCTGATGCCAAAACTAAGCAAAAAGAATAATGAATCCTGAGTTCATTTTAAACTTTAGGTTTCAGAAGGTGTGCTTATTTTCTGACTTCCTAAGCTTTTTGGGAAAACTTCCCTGTGACTAGCACGTCCTAGTGACAATACTTGGGATGGGAGCATACAGGGAGAAAGGCACTTCGAGGTTCCGTGTTGGGTGCACATTGGCCTGCACGTCTTTATGGAAAGAAATTTGACGATACACATCAAGAGAATTAAAAAGACTTATGCACCACTTTATCTGATAATTCCCCTCCAGGAATGTATCCTAAATCAACATCTTAAATATTTATGAACAATGATGTAAAGTTATACACTAAAAAATGTTTTAGAAAAGAAAAACCTTTGAAGGTAATACTTACAATTGGCGTTCCAAAAGGAATGTAACCTGCGAGGGGAGAGAAGAGGGTCAGGTCTTCCAGTCCCACCCCACTCCACCCCGTCCACCTCTCAACAGAGACAGTGGAAGAGACTTCCGGGTTTGGTCTTGTCAATGGCCCTGATGGGGCACCTCCACCCCCAGACCTTTTCCTGGCTCAGCCCTCCAGGATAGAAGGCTCCCCTGTGTCCCTCCACCACCCTCTCTCTGTCCCCCTGTAGCCAGACACTTCTCACTTGCCTCCAAAACTCAGAGGCCCATTGCTGAGGGCAGGGCTGCCCACTGCTGGGGGGCCACCATGCTACACTCAGCGCTCGTCCCGTGATTTCCTCCATGAGGTACGACGTCCCCAGCCCACACTCACGATACACACTACGCTGTCTTCACGGGCCCTGGAATGTCCTCCTTCTCTCACCTTGCCTTTCAAGCACACATCTTTACTTCCCCGGCATCATGACCGATTCTGGAAAGGGAACTCCCCACGCACTTGAGGTGCGTACCTCGACATGCCACAGGTCCTCTGTAACTTTCTCATACCCTGGCTGGACATCCTCCACAGGGCAGGAGAGAGCACCGTTCCCTCACTGCTCACGGCCCCGACACGGTGGGAGGCTCCCTCCACGGCCCCCACCCTGCTGTCAGTGGGCGGCCTTGTGTCCCTGACTCTGACTTACGGCAGCCAGTCAGCCGGTGGTGGGACAGCGGACAACCACGCTTCTCTGAGCTCTCGAAAGCAAAGGGTCGTGTGCTGAGTGTGTGTAACTGTGCATGCACACGAGCCGTCATGTCACTCTAGCGCCCACGTCCCTCTGGAGATAGATCCAGGGTTTGCCTGGACAGTGACAAGAGAAGCCAGGCTCCAGGTGAGAGCCTGCTGTGGCCGCGTGCAGGGACTGGGAGCACCTACAGCCATGGGTACAAGCCGCTCCGGCCTTTGCGCCTGGGAGTTTCTCACGGCCAAGCAAGGAGGATCCCCGGGCACGCAGGCCTCAGTTGGCACAATGATGAACCACGGTTGTTTTTTCTCTCACCCACATGAGGTCAGGCTCTCTGGGGGTGGGCATCCTGACTGACCCAGCTGCGAACAGCCCCCGATAGAGACCCTTTCTCCCCTCCCCTGGGGACTTTCCAAGGCACCAGCCAGAAGCCCTCCACCCAGCCCTGCAAGAGTGCCCCGGTGCCCTGAGAAACGGCACGGGGGAGGCACCAGCACTCTGCCGTGTGACTCCGCACAAGGCCTGCAGCCTCTCAGAACTACAGGTGGGACACATGCACCGTGCGCGCAAGCGCTTTCTAGGCTACTAAGCTCGTGCATACAGAGCTGTCCCTCCGGTGACCACAGGGCGGGGACTTCCTGGTGACCACAGGGCGGGGACTTCCTGGCCGCAGGGATCTTATGGCCACTCTCCCACCCCACCCCCTCTGCCACTGGTCTCCACAGAATGGGGATCCACCTTCCGTGTGGGCACTTGTGCAAATGCAGTGCATGCATTCTGGAGTAGAGGGGAGCCTGGGGCTTAAATGCCTTTAAGGGAACATGGTTTGGAAGGAAAGAGCACAGTGTGCACAGGTAGGTAAGGGAGGAGTGACTCACAGAAGGCAGGGCTTGCGGGAATCCGGGGTCACCCCTGAGGCTGCCGCTCAGTGAGTGCTGTGTAACCGGGGCGGGAGCGCCACATTCCCCTGTGGAGGCCTCCGCCCCACCCCCACTGCCCAGGCAGAGAAAGCAGACAGGCACATTTTTTCTAAAGCCCCAGAGGTGATTCTGAGGCCTGGCCAGAGGTCTGTAAGGTTGAGCCAAGGTGAATATGCAGGTGCAAATGTGGCCACGTGTGTCACAGGTTCTGCCCTTCCTCAGCTCGCTACATCTGGATGCTCCCGGAGCTGTGACCATGGTAAGTACCCGGGGCTAGGCAGAATCAGAAGGGTCCCACGGGCTTACCTGACATTCTAAAGGGCATGAAGATCTTCTCATTGGTATCTGGGTGTAGAATAGCCTAGCAAGAGCAGGGAACAAGGCACAGGGTGACTGTGGGGAGCGGTGGGGGAGCAGACAGGGGGACGGGAGACGGAGGAAGGAGGGAAAGGAGAGCTCCCCCAGAAGGACTGGCCAGTCAATCCTTTCCCATCATTCAAGGCAAGAGAAAACCAAAACATAGGCCACCAATAGGGCTTTTCCTGACTCACACTTAAAGCTGAACGCAGGGGAGTGGGACCTACCTTGCAGGTCCTCTGTCCCCCATGCCTAGTATTTAGTAGGCATGTAAGAAGGATTTTGTAGAAGGACCCCACAGGGAAGGAGTTCAGGGGCCCAGGGAAAGGCAAGGGGCCTGAGCTCCGGCAGTCAGAAACTGAGGCCCCGGGTGTTAGGGAGAAGGAAGGGCAGCTGGGGGCTAATGGGAGGGGAAAGGCTGGGCAGCACAGCTGTGGATCCCCAGGACAGGGCAGGGCAAGGGAAGGAAACAAATCCAAAACTGAATTACCTGCTTGATTTTCTGTGCACTCCAGAGCTGCAAGGAAGGAAGGATGGGAGAGAGAAGAAAAAGAACAAAAAAAAGGAAAAGAAAAGAAAGGACAAAAATGAAAAGCATTTATCAATTGAAGGTCTCATAAGCCACATTTTTTAACCAAGAGACCCAGCTCCAAAGGGCATAAGAGGCTCAGGTTGTCCTGGTGCCCCCAGGCCTGGTAGCTTCCCTGGGACTGTGGCATCAGACATCCCAGGACAGCAGAACCAGGGGATCTCACGCAGACCATCCAAACCAGGGGTTCTCTATTCTGGCTACGCTGTAAAATTACTCGAAAAATTCTTCCAGCAATTTTCTAGTTAATTCTAAGGTTTCGATGAAGACACTTGAGTACGTCTCCTGGAATCACTAGAAGCAGCATAGCACGGATTTTTCAAAGCTGGACAGACTGCCTGGATTCCTGGCTTTGCCCCTCCTTCCTCTGAACCTCCATTTCCTCACTTGTAAAATGCGGGTAATAGCGGTGCCTCCACCATCGTGGAAGAGGTATAGGAAAGGTGCCTGGAGCAGTGCTGGGCACAGAGTAGGTGCTTGACCGCGGCTGACTGCTGTGGGTATTATGATCCCTATTGTAGTTGTTATAAGAAGGTTACAAGGAGAAGAAAGTTGCTTTCAAGTAAGCGGTGAGGTTTTCTCTCCAGCACAGTGTGGGAGACAGGCTGGATGGACAGAACCATTGCTAATTCCTTCAAATGGTATAAACACTGTATCTCATTAAGTCTAAGATATCAGCGATCCTAAGACGCACTATCATGTGCCACCGAGAAGGAAAACTTTAACATAATCCCAAGACCTCCATCCATTAAAAGACTCATCCCATTTGAGAGACATTAAAATGTGGTAAGAGAAACTTTTAGAATCAAGAAAACATAGTGAATAAAAATGTACATGTGGGCAAAGCAAAGGCAGTGCGTTTTTAAAGGAGCAAGAAGGTATGAGGTGAGAGGGAGGAGGTGGCCAGCAGTTGATGTTAGTTTTACAACAGAACGGTTCAGTTATGCTTCAGTTTTGCGGCACTGTTGTCATCTGGAATATAAATTAAGCTGCAGAAGGCCACCAGGTAGCAGAAACAGAAGTATAAGATTGAAGAATTCACATTTATGCATTTTACTCACATCAGAGTCCTTCAACCCTTAATTCACAGCCTAATTACCCTTATTTTAGATACATTTCAAACATATTTGACTGTTTGTGATTCCAGACCACGAAGATTGAAGTGGTCAATTTTTTAAAAATAATAATTATGGAAAAAGGGGACTAAAGGGAGAAAAACCAAATGCAGAATTGCTGTTGGCCAAAGAAGGTAAGTCAGAGCGTAACAGCAAAGAGGTAAAACAAAGTAATAAAAGGCCGATCCCCTTTGCTCAGAAAGTGCCTCCAATCCCAGCACCATCTTCGGTGTGACCCCAGGCCCTGTGCAGACTCCTGACACCCCATATTTCCCACTCAGGATCAGAATCTCCTATTTCTAAGTCCAGCTCCTTGGAGGCAGGAGCTTGTCTTCCAAGGCTGTCACCCATCATCTCCCACAGTGCTGGGCACACAGAAAATCCAAGGCTATTCTAAAATTAAGATTTTATTTAAAAAAAACATGCAGATCTCTTCATACAATTCAGAAGGAAGGAAGGGAGGGAGGGAAGGAGGGAGGGAGGGAGGCAGGAAGGCAGGAAGGGAGGGAGGGAGGCAGGAAGGGAGGGAGGGAGGGAGGGAGGAAGGCAGGGAGGAAGGCAGGGAGGCAGGGAGGGAGGGAGAAAGGAAGGAAGGAAGGAAGGAAGGAAGGAAGGGAGGGAGGGAGGGAGGGAGGGAGGGAGGGAGGGAGGGAGGGAGGGAGGGAGGGAGGAAGGAAGGAAGGATCCAGTGGAGGCTGGTGGGGCAGCAAAGCCATGAGGTGAAGGAGCCCAGGTCCTGGACGATGGCCTGTGCCCAGTTCCCAAGCAGCACTGGACTCTGACATGAGAGAGGAACAGACCTTAGTGTGTAAGTTCCTGAAATCTGGGGTTGTTTGTTACAATGCTTGGCTCACCCTGACTAACACAGAGGCTCATTTATACACATAAATGAGATGTGTATATCTAAAATACTCAGCCTATAGAACATGTTCCATGAATGCCTAAAACAGAGCAGTCATTCAAATGAGCAATATATTTTTTTAACAGACTTAATTATTTTTCAAAGCAACTTCATCTCTATTGTCTTACTCCTACAACACGCCTGTGAGGTGGACAGATTATTTTCAGACAAGCAAACTCATCTCAGAGAGACCAAGTAATTCAGCAGGGTCCTAGGGGCTGGTGGCAGGATGGAGCTGGGCCCCCAGGCCTCCTGGCCTCCAGGCTCGTGTTCTCCCTACACTCCAGGGGCCTCCGGAGCAGATCAATATCTGGTCTGGCCCGAGTGACTGCCAGGCCTGAGGCACGAGAAGAGGAAGAGGGTTAGCTGACATCCTCCTGGGGTCCCAGAAACTCCTCCTTGCAGCCGGGGGCTAATGCCCCTCACCAGCACCTGCTGCTCCCCTCCTGCCCAAGTCCAGCTGAGTAGCGCAATGCTGGCAACCCATGGCACATCCAAGCCCCTCAGGTTCAAGGACTGCCCCCTCCATCTCCACCCCGCCAGGAGCAGGGATGGGAGAAGCAGGCGGATGCTGCTCATCGGCAAAGGCAGAAGTTCAGTAAGGGTGTCAGCAGGCCAGGCCAGGGACCCAGAGCTACAGAGGTGTTCCCCACCCTGCAATGACATCACCACACCCATGGCCCCGGGCAGGCTGGTGCCACGGAGACGAGCGACGACAAAGCCTCACACGCTAACTCCATGCTTCTCCCTTTGGCTGAGCACCTTCCCTCCCATTATTTGATTCTCACCCTTGGAAACCTGTTCTATAGGCCAGGTGAGGAAACCACAACGCAGAGTCACCTCCAAGGTGTCGGGCAGAGCCAGAATGACAGCTCATGACCTCTCACTCGGATTCATTCATCCTCACTCATTCATTCACATTTAGCGAACAAGCGTGATGTGTCGGACATCCTTCTGAGGGCTTTGTACATATTGACTTATCTAATCTCCTCAACAACCCCATGAGGCAGGAGGTAGTCTACCCCCCACTTCATAGATACGGAGACTGAGGCACAGACAACGTACATGACTTGCCCACAGTCCCACAGCAGCACTGGGATCTGAACCCTAGCAGTCTGGTTCCTGCATCCCCACTCTCGACCGCCACCTGCACCTGTCTCTAAATGTTAGCACACCGGTGCACGCTGTTCTGTCCCTTTAGGCACCTACGTGTTGTAGAGATCTTTCCATATCAGGGCGCAGAGAGCAGTCCTCCGCTTCCTAACAGAAACCATGAATGAATATATTGTAAACTGTACCCTATGAGTGGACTTTTAGGCTATTTTCCATCTTTTCTTTTTTTCTTGTGGAAAAATATACATAACTGAACATTTACCATTTTAACCATTTTTAAGTGGCAGCTCCATGGCATTAAGTACATTCACATCATTGTACCGCCATCCACCATCCACCTCCTTTTCATACTCCCCATCTGAAACTCCGTACCCAATAAGTCCTAACGCCTTATTCCTCCCTCCCCCAGCTCCTGGCACCCACCATCCTACTCTCTGTGAATCTGACCGCTCTAGCTATTTCCTATAAGTAGAATCATATGGGATTTGTCCTTTAGTGACTGTCCCATCTTTTACTATTATGACCATGCTCCAGTGACTTTCCCTAAACTTATCATTATCATACCATCAGCATGTAAAGAAAAAGGATAAATGTATGCAGAAATCTCTGGCAGGATACAGAAGAAACTAAAGGTTACTCTAGGGAGAGGAAGGGGAGCAATTGGGGAAACTTGTTTTTTATCCTCTACTCGTTTTATAGCTTAGAAGTCTGTAGATTGTTCGTATGTTCCCCATTCAAAATAATCAGTAAAAAATTAAGAGTAACCACTAGAAAAATAGCAATAGGGTGCACAACTTCTAAACTCTTTATTGACCTCTATGGCACAGACTGTTAAGTGTCCAACAAAATCTATGTCCCCTTCTTCCAAAATAATAGAACAGTGGTGGGCAGGTGACCGACCTACCACGCTGTATTTCCTAGCCTCTACTGCAGTTAGGCTCATCCATGTGCCTGAGTCCCCCAGTGGCATCTGAGGGGAAGAGAGATGGGCCTCTCCCTGGCCAGCAACTGCCACCCCCAACCATGCTTTTTGCCCCCTTCCTGCAAGCTGGAGCACATGCGTGGCTGCAGCCCAGACTGGGAAGACAGCTCAAGGAGATGGGGGAGAAACATGATGGAAGGAGGCTGGGTCCCTGAGTGATCCTGTGGAGCTGAGCCATCTGCCCACCTGGAACTTGAACTGTTTGATGGGAGAGAAAGAAACTTCTTAATTTACTTGAGCTGGTACATTTTGAGATCTCTTTGTTACAGCAGTTAGTATAACCCTAACTAAGATAAGCCATTTGGGATTATAGGAAATCGCCTCCCATGATACAGAAGAAAGAATGAAACCAAAAGTAGTGTTTGTGACATCCAGCAATGCTCCCAGCTCAGCAGGCAGGTGAGATGGGAGGGATATCTCCATTTTAAACTAAAATTCCTACACATGACCTGATCTTGTTTGGGCTCATCCATCTCTAGGCTGCAGCAACAACAGTCAATCATGGATTTTGGTTTTGGCTCAGCCACTAATGTGCATGGTCTCCTGTGCAAGCCATTGCACACCTTAGGCTTAGATTTTTTTTTTTTTTTTAATTAATCAGGCAGGAGAAAGGGCAGGAAGGGCCCCTTCCTGTGTGATGATGCCAGACCCAGCCCATAGAGAGACAGGACAAGGACACCTTGGGTCTGGGCTTTTCCCTGGAACCCACTGGACCCATGAGTCAGATGCTGGAGGCAGGAATGGCAGCAGAACCCCAAGCCAAGTGCTGGTTTCTAGCTTGACGTTTCATAAGCCAGTCCTGCACACAGGTTACAGG